CAGTCGTATCTCCCCATTTATTCAATGTCTGTGTTAGCCTGCTGGGAGGTATCATCCGGAGGAACGGGTTACAGTGCCATCATTACGCCGAAGGCACCCAGATATGTCTCCTTCTCGGGTGACAAAGATGTAGCTGTCGCCTGCTTAAGAGACCGTCTGGCAGAGGTAGCTGCATGGATGCAGCAGAACTCGCTAAGGCTTAATTCTGACAAGACGGAGCTGATGAGTGTAGGGTCAGAGAGTCGGCTGAGGATGGGACAGGGGGGAGCTTGTGCTCCCATTAATTCACAGAGTACGCCCTCTCCCTGCAACAGTGGTGCACAACCTAGGTGTACCATTCGATCGTAGCTTGGCCTTCAGGTTGCGGCTGTGGCCAAAAACGAGATTCTATCACCTACGAGTGCATCGAGGGCTGCGACCCCTCCTATCCACTCGTAATCTCAAAACAGTGGTTCACGCCTTTGTCTCAACGCGCCTGGATTACGGAAATGCTTTGTATACTGAGCTGCCTCGTGAACTGATTCGGAAACTGCAGCGGGTGCAGATTGCGGCTGCCCACATGCTTAAGACGTGTTAGCCGTTTCGAGCGCATAAAACCAATCCTCCGTGATCTGCACTGGCTACCAGCCAGCTATCGCGTACAATTGAAGTTAACTGTAATAACTTACAAAGCTCAAAATGGCCTTGGTCCTCAGTACCTGCAGTTCCATCTGGCTCCCCACACATTGCGCTCCTCAGGCCAGGACCTGCTAGCACAAACTATAATTTTTCATTCTACGCTGGTACGCTGGGCGGTAGTACGGGCCTTCTCGAGTGTGGCGCCTAAGATGTAGAACTCTCTTCCACAAGCCCCTAAGATCGGCTCCGAACACCGAACAGTTCAGGAAACGATGCAAGACTTATTTTTTTCGTTTTAGATTTTCCTTTGAGTGTGTCCCTTCATTTTGATATGTTTATATATGTCTTGATTGTATAGGTAGGACTACCTTCGTTGAATTCATACTGTTAAGTCACGTAGAAGGGAAACATGTCTCGGACCGCATTCGTGAACACAAAGCAGACCTAAAACACGGTAGGACCAACACCTCAGCCGTGGCAGATCACTGTTATAATTCAGTAGGCTCACATGACATTGACTTCTCCAAGACAGAGGTTCTTTGCAAGCCATCTGGCAACCATGAGAGATTCGTTCATGAGGCTATCCACATATACAAACAGAAACAATTTCAACCGAGAAGATGGATTCTGGCTTAGCAATCATTGGAAAGATTTGATAAACCATTTCGGGTCTTAATTGATTGTTCACGCTTACGGTGGCTTTCAGACCGCATCCATTATTTTCGTCTCCCCCCTCCTCTTTTCCGAACATAGATGGACTCTTCCATCTGAATAACTGCCAATTCGCTCTACCGTGGTGCTAACGTTAAAAAACCGCCACTTTTTTCAAAATTTCTTGCTGTGGGTTTCACACCTGATGATGATTGCTTGTGTTGCAGTCGAAACGTCGTGAGAATTTTTATTGTTTTATATTTTTATTATTTTATTGTTTCCCTTCTACGTGACTTTACCGAAAGAACCAAGAATATGAATCCCTGCAGTCACGAAAGCTTTAAATCAAAATTTAATTCATACTGTAAAGTATTGCCATGCCCTCTTTAGTCGGGGCGAGTTTTTACTCGAAAAAATGCGAATGAATAGATATAGCTCTTTTTCAGAAGCGACCTGGCTATCACAAATGATAGCTCAACGAAGTGGCTTATCATGTGGAAATGTATAGCAGCTACATATTCTAAACGCGTGTTGATTCCAATTGTGGAGGGAAAAACTGGAGGACCTGGAGAAAATCCAGTTGACTACAGAGTCACGCAAACTACAAATATACAGCAGGCGTCAGGGTCGGGATCGAACCCCCGTCCTCCTGTATACTAGGCGAGGTAATTAACATCTTACCACGGCGAGATAACTATCATTTCAGCTGCTGGGAACCACGGCTTTAAAAGAAATGTATACATATATATAAAACTAGCTTTACTACCCGGCTTCGCCCAGGACTTGGATTCACCACGCCCGGTTGCCTTTGTCTCCCCAGTGGTGATGTTCAAACACCACACCAGTTAATCGTTTGAGGCTGAGTCGACCTAGGGGAGGCCCAGGACCGGTTCAAATAATCGTCACCCGTGGTGGCCGTGAGCAAGAATCAAACTCGGGTCGCCGGGTTCATAGCGCAGCGCGCTAACCACTACACTACCGCTCCCCCCACACACGCGCGCGTGTCCATAGGTACACATAGACGCGCTTGCTGCAGACACACACAACTTTCAGGGTGCGTACAGCAGTAAACGACTCAAATAATAAACCAATGCTGCGCGAAGAATACCTTAGACCTGCAACACATTTAATGGCACTTTACTCGCGGAGGGTTGGGGGGGATGCGTGACATCAGCAGGCACACTACGTAACGCTTCCGCATGCGGGTGACATCACAGATGTGACGTCACAGCTCACTTGCCGTGCAAAATATATCTTTATTGCGCCCCCCCCGCCAAAAAAAAATACAAAATTATATTTTTATACTTTTTGCATGGTGTACAGTCTGGAAACTACCCACATGTCAAATTTCAAGTTTGTTGCATGTCGGGAAGTATGCTAAACATTTCGAACAGACACACATTCACACATTTCTCTTTTATATACATAGATAAACCACAACAAACATCGGTGAACAAGGTTCGAGGGTGATTTAGCACTTGTCCAATAGGGAAACTCACAGCCAAAGCACTCGGCTCGCACTCAAACCCGTCTCAAGGTCGCAATGACGACTCGCTTATCAATCATGTTCCAGCCCGTGGGTCATCGCGCTATAATTATCTTTTCTTCCCCGCGTGGCCACGCGCCAATCTTTTAAATAATATTTTAATTTGTTTCCTGACTCTGCCAGGCGACTGCGCTCGTCTGCCTAGGCGCCCGCCCGCATGCCCGCATGCCCGCCCGCCCGCAGTGTCCGAACAGATTTCTCCCTGTGGCGCGTGTGAGTGCCAGCCGAGTGTGTTTGAGAATCGAACAGTTGGCGGTCATTAAGAGAGTGGAGGCTCTTTATTAGGTGCGGCTTAGTGTTATTGCGTAAAATATTCGCAATTTCTGCACGTGCCCCAACCTCATGATTTTTTTCATGATCACGGTATCGCTGAGAACAGAGCCCCCTGTAATGCACAATTGCCACCTTTTCAGCTGTAGACCAATTATCCATTGGACATATCGTTGCCAGTCAGCACTCGGTTTTCTTATCATAACTGTGCAGTCCACTGTCAATAAAGTTCAACACAATACCGCTTTTTTTGTGTTGAGTTGGTTGTCCTTCCCCCCCGCACCTCCGATTGGCACGGTTGGCTACATACATTGTGCGAAATAAGTTCAACATACACAGTGGTGGTGGTGGCTGTAGTGGTGGTAGTGACGGTGGTGGTGGTGTTGGCGGTGGCAGTGGTGTTGGTACTCGGCTGGAAGGTGCCTGTTTAATGTCAATGTCAGGGTCTAGAGACTGGGGTCGTTCTGGGCCCCTTTCTCTGACCCAGATAGAAAGGCGTGCACTGCCTGGGAGCCGGGCGGGCCACGCGCGGAGCGCCTCGAGACTCCGTCGAGCGCGGCTTTTGGCTTCCAACCGCCGGCGCGTGGCGTTCAATGATGCCAGGCCAGGCTGACGTCGTTCCTCTAAGGCACTTCCTCGGCTCGTTGTGTGCGCGCCAATAGCCGTAGCGGCGGCAGTGGCCGCGCGGGTTTCCCCTCCTCCACCCACATCTCCGAGCCCACGCCGCCGCTGCACTCCGACTTCAAGAGCAGTGTCACACGCATCGCCATCACGGCCGCGCTTGGTCGAGTCCGGTCGGCAGACGATGGCAAGGCGTGTCGGGTATTTTTGTTTATCTGCACGTATCGCGTTATTGTTGAATATAAAATAAAAATGTGTATCCTGCGGATGGACTTTCCCCTGTCATAGTAACGTGGACGTTTCACCACTGATTAGGCGCCACCAATTAAAGATGAGCACCAATGCCACCCATGGATAAAATGCCAATTTTGTGTCTGATGATAATAAGCAATCGTCTGAATGGGAATGATGCCCTATGGGCATAAAGCTAATTAGGTAATCTTCGTATTTACATGTGTGTCTGTGCGTATGCACGTGTGTGCATGTCGATTGTGTGCATACGTATGTGTTCATATGTGTAACAGCACTTGCCCTAACAGCCTGTAAAGGCTATACGGTGGATCTTTACCTTTGTTCATGTGTGCACTCTTGTGTGTGCACTCTTGTGTTTGCGCAGCGGTGGCGAAGTGGTTTGCGTGCTGCAATACGAACCTGGCAACCTCAGTTCGATTTCCGGCCATGGCTACAATCAGTGCCGAGCGATATCAGAACCATTCGGGGCCCTCCCCTCGTTTGATTTCTACTGAAGTGAGCACCCGGTGCAGTATGCAAACATCAGGACCGGAGAGACTAAAAAAGGGTGGCCCTTCGCGACAAAGGGCCACATCACCCCCATCCTGCACCACGTTGGCCTTGGGGAAGTTTGCTCGGCTGACAGCACTTGCCAGTAGCGCAGTGACGACATAATTATCAGCTCAAGGAGTGCGGCATTCGGTCAGGTGGGGCCTCCAATTTTGCGGAAGCCGAACGTTACCGCTGTAATAATTGTAATAAACAAAAAAAGAAAACGGGGAATGTAAATGCAAGCGCTTTCTTTAAAATAAAAATTAAACCGCGTTTGAAATAAGTTGTTTTTTTACAACTGTTGTTTAAAACATTTAATGGTGGTTGTGAAAAGGGCCTCAACTCGTAGCTTTGGCCACCAGGTGTGGGCGGGGGGGGGGGGGCAAGGCACCCCTGAGTCCCCCATTCTCATTACGCGACTGGCACTTGCCCCGTGCCTTCCCGGTAAAGGCTACACGAGCGGGGTTGGGGTGGGGGCATCTTTGTCATTGCTTCGCATGTCTCGCCAAAGGACCGGCGATTCAGCGACGAGATGGACAAGCTGAAGGGCTACAAGACGATGTCTCTCCTCTGCATGCCCATCCACGACAGCGACGGGCAGGTGATCGGAGTGGCCCAGGCCGTCAACAAGACACCGGGATGGGTACCATTCAGCGACGACGACGAGAAGGTGAGTGCGGTCCAACTACAAATGAGATCGTATGTTTGGTATTTATTTCCTTTCCCAAGCTTTGCTAAGTCACGCAATGTTAACTTGTATACATTTCATGTATTTATGTAAGGGACGTCAAGGTGGTTGTGATCTTATCTTCCACACCTGGTATGCAGGAGGTCGGAGGTTCGATCGCGACCCTGACGCCTGCTGTATATTTGGAGTTTGCGCGTCTCTTCCCCCATGGTGGCGTGGATTTTTTTCTCCGGGTCCTCCGGTTTTTCCCTCCACATTTAGAAACTTGCATGCTGATCATTTAGCTGTTATGGATTTTCAACATGATAAGCCACATTGTTGAGCTATCATTTATGGCTAGGTCCCTTTTGAAAAATTCGTTAAAAGTTACGTGGGCTTTACTTGGCAAGATAGTTTGGTTTTATTTGTGTGTATTTTTTTAAGTGATGTGTTTACCTTTCCTATACTTTGGACTCCTACCGTGTTTTTTGCATTGCTTGTTGTTGTAACGTTCTGACTCGCCCTTACTGGACATCTATGAAAAATAGCTTTGTAGCTCATCGGATTCCTCCAACATGAATCAATATTCTGATAATTGTGAGTCCGAAGGCGCCGTTTTTGATAGACGAGTGGAGTTGCCAGTGGGACTTCACATTCTCAGAGCAGTGGTCAGTGAAGGGACGTTTCTCCGAGACTTGATCCACGAGCGAACAGATTCATTTGGCGATACTGCCCCTTGCGTTGGCAGTGGTGCACAAACACAAACAACAATGCGACATTCGCTATTAACAACGCCTTCAAAGGGAAACACGTCTATCATGTGAGTGTAATAGGTCACATTGTGGGGCTGTTAGGGAATGTTTTTCAAATATTGGCGAATTTTGACCGAGACGCCAACATGTGCAGCGCCTACGCTTCTTCAAATAACGTCACGGGGATCTCCGCCGTCTACTGTAAAAGCATACAGAGTGGGTACTTATGTATTTATGTATTCATTGGTAACGGTTAATACATCCGTATTAGCCAAAGTTCGCTGCGGGGACTCGAACCGTGGAACCGTGCACAAAACATGCGGCGGTCGCACTATAACCCCTCCCTCGCTTATGTGGTCCGCCCCGGGCTCCGATAGAGGAATCATCCTCACACAGGCGGTTCACCCATGACCCACACCCCACAACCCCCCCCCCCCGCGTTTGATACGGAGATCAAAGAGCTGCCATGAATGACATCCGCGGATTAGGGGGAGTGTCCCGTTCTGTGCCATAAAGGGTGCGTGCACGTGCGTCCGAGTCACGAGGACAGGTCACACGGGACTCGTGGTGCGGTGTGTGGGTGATGTGCGTGGTGCCGGTGGTGCAGTGGGGTGAGTAGTGTAGCGGTTAACGCGCTGTGCTCCGAACCCCGCGACCTGAGTATTCCCGCTCACGGCCAACACCAGTGATGATTATTTGAACCAGTCCTGGGCCTCCCATAGGTCGACTCAGCCTTAAAATTAGTACCTGGTGCGGTGTGTAAACATCACCACTCGGAAGACAAAGGCGGCCGGGCGTGGTGCTGGCGACCCACCCCCTTGTGTGCCATTCCAACCTTCAAAGGTGCTCGCTAACAGCGTTTGCTCCTACAGTCTGTTAAGGCTATACAGTGGGGTGGGTGGTTTTAGGTGGTGTGGTGGTGCAAGTGGTGTGGTGGTGTGGATGGTGCGGGGATGGTGTGGGTGGTGAAATGGTATCTTTCTTGTAGTGACGTCGAATCAGTCACATAGTAGCATAGCGCTAGCTGCTGGCAGGGAAAAGGATCTGCAGCTTATAGCAGCCCTGAATGACAGTAGGCCACGTGATAGACCCGAGAGGGATCTACGGGAAAGGTTACGGAAGAGGCACATCGGGAACCCGCTAGAAGGTTGCAGAAGGGGGCGTGGCCAGGGCGGAGCCAGGCCACGCTGACAGTATAAGAGGGGTCCCGGGAGGGGACCTCGGGGCTGTCGTTTGAAGTGGGATTCCGTCGTGCTGCTGGAGTCTTCGTCGCCGTCACCGTATTCACCATCTCGGCGTCCCCAGTCAGGCAGTCTGCCAGCTGTCCTGACTGGAAAATGTAGTTAGTAAGTGTTAAGGTTATTAATAAAGAGTGCCTCCTATTCATATTCTATGAATAGGAAGCACTACTCTTCGAAAAAAATCAAGAAAATAAAATTCGTCAGCCAAGACAAAGAACCCACCAATAGTGTCTTTGGGAGATGTCGACGATGGGGATGCGGCCCCCTGGACAGCCCCGGAATCCGGGACTCCGTTCATGCGACCTGGGATAGAGAAGCAGTGAAGCAGTGGGACAGGGACGTCGGCCCCTTGCAACCGCTGGTTAGAGAGGGATGGCACGACCTTACCTGACGTCCCGCGGAGCTGCTCTCTGTGGCAGCGGAGCTCGTGGCCCAGCTCGGATCTGCAACGCCTGCCGGAGATGCGGCAGCGCAGGAACAGCGGGCGGACAGCTCGATTTTTGCCGCCGCACCAGCGCGGGAAACTACGGAGTTCCCGCCCACGCGGGCGGCCGCCATTTTGTCCACCACGGGTGCGGCACAGTGGGCGACCGCCATTTTGTCGCCCGAGCGGGAAATTTTTCCCGCCATGTTCAAGTCGCTACCAGCGGGGTCTGTGGGGGCGCTGCCTCTATGGGGGCGCCTGCCTCCCGTCTGCGAGTTCGGAGCGGTGGGAGGTGACGGAACGGCGTTTTAGTGCCACTTCAGGGCGGCCTGCGCCTTGGTCGGGTGGTCCGACGGCTGTGCGCTCGGATGGCCATCGGGAGAGGAGCATGCCGAGTGCAGGGGGGGAGGCCGTGATGCCTCTCGCCGTCCACAGCGGGATGCTGGACTTGGCGGGAGAGCTGTTGAGAGTTGACTTAGAGTCTTTCCCAACGCTCGCGGGCTGTGGCACGTCGAGTATAATTTTCTTTCTTGCGGACTGGGGTTATTGTTGAGAGGTTTCACCGGTGATGTGGCTTTGCGGGGTTTTTTTTGTTGTGGTTTGTTGTTCGTCGTGTTGGGTTTGTTGCGTTGGCGCATTTTGTACTTTGTGAAATTCACCGTTATGTAAGTGATTGATGTCAGCTGGGATGGCTGTTTTATTTTTTCACAGGGGGGGTGATGTAGTGACATAGAATCGGTCACATAGTAGCATAGCGCTGGCTGCTGGCAGGGAAGGGGATCTGCAGCTTATATCAACCCTGACTGACAGCAGGCCACATGATAGATCAGAGAGAGATCTAGGGGAAAGGTTACGGAAGGGGCACGTCGGGAACCCGCTAGAAGGTTCCAGAAGGGGACGTGGCCGGGGCGGAGCCAGGCCATGCTGACAGTATAAGAGGGTTCCCGCGAGGGGACCTCGGGGCTGTCGTTTGGAGTGGGATCCCCGTCGTTGCTGCTGAAGATCGTCACCATCATCGCTGTTGTCTTGCCGCCGTCGTCGCTGTCGTCGTCACTTGATATTGCGTTGCTAGACGGTAGTTGGCTGTCTTAGTTCAGCGCCGTCACTGTCAGACGGCTAGTGTTGTGTGTAGGCGAGCAACCAGTGTTGAATTGTGTATAAGTGAGAGACAGAGGAGAGTGTTAAAAGTGTAGGGTGTGTATTGTACAAAGTGTGCTCGGTGTTAATTAAATAACTGCCTCCAAGAATTTACGTCTCCAAGTCAGTCACTACATTTGTAACAAGAGCACACACACACCACCGTGCGCAGTGTTTGTAAAATCACAAAGCCAATAAAGCTCGTGCATGTTGTTAGGCTGTTCGGTCATAATATCACGAGTGAAATCATTCATTTGGGTAGTCGCAGCACTGTTGAGACCTCCTACTTGTCGCGGACTGTACGCCATGCATTAGCAGAGCGTGAGGACAATTAGGTTGTACGCTTAGTTAATTTCATGATTACTTGGCTTCTGTCAGTGCTAGCTATTAGTAAATAAGTCAAGAAAAAGCGACCGGCTGTCCATCCTCAGACTAGAGCGAAGTGGTAGTAGTGGTGGTGTGAGTAGTAAGCGTGCTGTGCCATTAATCCAGCAAAAAACGAGTTAAATTCCCAGCCAAAGCTGCCACGGTAGCGAGAGAGGGTTGGCACGGTGGAAAGATGTTAACTACCTCGCCTGGTATACAGGAGGCCATGGGTTCGATCCCGAACCTGACGCCTGTTTACTATGGAGTGTGTGTGTCTATCATCGTGGTGACGTGGATTTTTATCCGGGTCCTCCGGTTTTTCTCTTCACATTTAGAAACATGCGTTTAGAGTATTTGGCTGCTATAAATTTCCACGTGATAAACCACTTCGTTTAACTATCATTTGTGATTGCCAGGTTACTTCTGAAAACGAGCTATATAGCAGCTCAGTGGGCCTTCCCTAGAAAATTTTAAAACAAAAATAGTAACGTGAGTGATATCAGAACCGGGCGTGTCCTACCTCTTCCCTCCTTCGCAAACCTGCACTGACGGGCGTGGTAAATAGAGTATGGTTTTTAAAAAGAAAACCCCATGACTGACAACACGATGTCAGGAGGCTTTTAATCCAGCAGTAGAATGAGACTGTCAGGTAATTTATTTATATTCAAGGCGTGTTTGTGAAATCCAAAATCTATGCTCTGGTGTTAGTATTTACCCCTCCCACCATCTATATATATAAAAGTCAAAAATTGTCTGTTTGTGGGTTTGTGTCTGTTCGCGCGCTTGTGAATGATTTGCCTCTCCAACGGTGGGGTTTACGTTAAAAAAAATAGCCTGGTACCAAGCGGTAAGCCCCACGGTGAGCAAGCGCTATTCCTTTTTCACATCCGTCAACTTTAAATTTGTTTAAGATTTGGTGCGATTTTTGTGCGCTTTACTTTTATTTAGTTATTTATGACGCGTGCACGACCATACCAACTCACGCGCCTTTGGTGGGAGGGACGGCCCATGCCAAGTCGCACGCCTTCGGTGGGAGTGAGGGGGACATTTTCTTTCGAGTTAAAAATGCTATAAAATACACTAAACGCTGACGCTAAATCTTCACTGTGTGATGTCCCCCCGACCCCGATGCGTGCAGTTATCTTACCTATAAATGTCATTTTTTGTCTGTGTGTCCATCTGTCTGTCTGTCTGTCCGTCTCTGTGTGGTCGCAACTTGCAAAGGATTTCGCTCACGAACCGTGGGGTTTACGTAAAAAAAAATAGTAGGCAGGTACCGCGCCGTAAGCCCCCTGGAGAGCCAGTGCTATTCCGTTTTCCCATCTGTAAACTTTCAAGTAGTTTAATTAACAATGCAGTGATATGCACCATTATTTAATTATTTACTCGAGTGGCTCAAGCTGCCCAGGGGTTACTCCTAGCAACGCATGCACGTCATCGGTGGAGGGTGGGGGGGATTTCTCCTTCGCGTTCAAAATGCAAAAAAAAAACGAAACGCTGACGTAAATTCATCGAAGTGTCATGTCCTCTTCTCTCCCCCCCCACCCCAATGTGTGTACTTACTGCTATAGGGTTGGTAGATACTAATATTATAGCGCTTAGATAGTATTATTGTAGCGCGGGCGGGGGATGGTGGGGCGGGTAGCGGCCCAGCCCCCAGCCTCAGCCGGCTGGGCAATCGAGGTGAGGCCGGGGGCTCTGCATGGGACTAGGTCTGACCACGCCACTCTGTCAGGTTCGTAATTTGTGCTATAGAGTCGATAAATACTGCTATAGAGTCAGCATGTACTACTGTAGTGATAGCAGGTACCACCACAGTCGGGATGCACTGCTGTAATCATAGCAGGTATCATCACAGTCAGTATGCACTGCTGTTAGATTTTTAAGAGTAGGTTTGAAATATTTTTTGGGCCCGGGCAATGCCGGGTATATTTTAGTATTTAATAAAAAAAATCTGATAGTCTTGTGGGATTTGTCATTTAATTATTTCACAGGGCAACCTTTTAGGGCCTTTCACTTAACAAAAACAAATTACCTGCCATTCTCATTCTACTGCTGGATTGAATGCCTGCATGAATGGTGCAGATCACAATAGGCTCTAACGGTTCTTGAAGAAAAAAAACATCCAATTTTAAGGGCACTGATGCAAGGGAGAGAGATAGAAAGAAAAGAACCCCATGGTTAAGTGAAGAAATTGCTCTGTGTATTGACGAGCAAGAACAAGGTTATATTATAAACTAGCGGTAAGTACCCGGCGTTGCCCGGGCGAAAAAGACAGACACACACATCGACCTACACACACTTCCAGACATTGACCCAAATACGCGAAGACATCGACTTACACACACATATGGACTCACACACATAGACATCGACTTTAGAGACACACACATGGACTAACAAACAGACATGGTGAAAAACAGAGACTTTCTTTCATCTTCTGTTTTGTGCTTCACGGTGACATGGCTATGTGATCTGATTCCGGACACTGCGCTACAACTGGCAGGATTCCATCTTGTAAGATCGGATCATGACATAGCACTCTCCGGCAAGACGAAAGGCGGTGGTATTTGTTTTTACATTAACAGTGGCTGGTGTGTAGATGTCACAGTGATTCTGCAACATTGTTCTCTGCTCCTTGAATCATTTTGTATAAACTTTAAACCTTTCTACTCGCCTCGCGAGTTCGCGTTGCTGATTTTGGTCGGAGTTTACTTGCCGCCGGGTCCTCAGGTTAAAGAGGCCCAACACATGCTAGCCGACCAGATTCTGAGTGTGGAGCGAGCAAATCCAGATTCGCTGGTTATTGTACTTGGCGACTTTAACAAAGTTAATCTCAGCCACGAACTCCCCAAATACATACAATTCATTAAATGCCCTACCAGAGAAGGGAACACTCTGGATCACTGCTACACTACAGTCAGTAGAGCCTACCACGCCATCCCCCGAGCAGCACTGGGACACTCAGACCATGCCATGGTCCACCTGATTCCTGCATACAGGCAGAAACTAAAGCTCTGTAAACCTGCTGTGAGGACATCTAAACAGTGTACCAGTGAGGCTGTGGAGGATTTGCGGGCGTGCTTGGACTGTACTGACTGGGATATGTTCACGACTGCTACCAATAGTCTGGATGAACTCACAGAGGCTGTGACGTCATACATCAGCTTCTGTGAGGACTGCTGTATTCCAACACGTACCAGGATGAACTTCAACAACAACAAGCCCTGGGTCTCAGCAAAGCTCAGAAGGTTGAGGTTGGAGAAGTGGGGATAGAGACAGATTGAAGGAGTCGAAGAACAGGTTTAGCAAGGTGGTGAGAGAGGCTAAACCACTGTACTCGGAGACTAAAACACCAGTTCTCTGCTAACGACTCTGCTTCTGTCTGGTGAGGGCTCAGGCAGATCACCAACTATAAGCCCAGAGCCCCCCACACCACTAACGACTCCTGCCTGGCCAACGACCTGAACGAGTTCTACTGCAGATTTGAAAGACAATTGGACTGTCCTGAACTACCCTTTCCCACCCAAGAGGCCCCATCCCCCGCCTATACTACAGAGATGATTCTCTACGTTAAGGAGGGAGAAGTTAATAGACTTTTCAAGAGGCAGAACCCACGCAAAGCAGCTGGGCTTGACTCTGTCTCTCCAGCCACCCTCAGGAACTGCGCTGACCAGCTGTCTCCGGTGTTCACCAACATCGTTAACACCTCCCTGGAGACATGCCATGTACCACCTTGTCTCAAGTCCTCTACCATCATCCCTGTGCCCAAAAAGTTAAGGCCAACAGGACTAAATGATTATAGACCGGTCGCCCTTACCTTTGTGGTAATGAAGTCTTTTGAGCGCCTGCTTCTGGCACACCTCAAAGCCATCACAGACCCTCTCCTAGACCCCCTTCAGTTTGCCTACAGAGCCAACAGGTCTGTGGACGTCGCAGTTAACATGGCCCTCCACTTCACCCTACAGCATCTGAACTCCCCAGCATCCTATGCCAGGATCCTGTTTGTGGACTTCAGCTCTGCCTTCAACACCATCATCCCTGCCCTGCTTCAGGACAAGCTTTTCCAGCTGAACGTGCCCAACTCCACCTGCAGGTGGATCACAGACCTCCTGTCTAACAGGAAGCAGTGCGTTAAGCTGGGAACACAAGTCTCTGACTCCAGGTCCATCAGCACCGGAACTCCTCAGGGCTGCGTCCTTTCCCCACTGCTCTTCTCCCTGTACACCAAAAGCTGCACCTCCAATCATCCGCCCGTCAAACTCTTGAAGTTTGCGGATGACACCACCCTCATTGGGCTGATCTCTGGTGGGGATGAGTCTGACTATAGGTGGGAAGCTGACAACCTGGTGACCTGGTATAGCCAGAACAACTTAGAGCTAAATGCTCTAAAGACAGTTGAGATGGTTGTGGACTTCAGGAAGAATACAGCCCCACTCACCCCCATCACCCTGTGCGACTCCCCAGTAAAAACTGTAGAGTCCTTCCGCTTCCTGGGCAGTATTCTCTCCCGGGACCTCAAGTGGGAACTGAACATCAACTCCCTCATCAAGAGAGCTCAACAGAGGATGTACTTCCTACGGCAGCTGAAGAAATTCTGCCAAAGACAATGATGGTGCACTTCTATACAGCAATCATTGAATCCATCCTCACCTCCTCCATAACCGTCTGGTACGCTGCTGCCACTGCCAAGGACAAGAGCAGACTACAGCGTATCATCCACACTGCTGAGAAGGTGATTGCCTGCAATCTACCAACCCTCGAGGACCTGCACACCTCGAGGACCATGAGGCGAGCGAGGAAGATTGTGGCCGATTCCTCTCACCCTGGACACTCTCTGTTCCAGCTACTCCCCTCTGGCAGAAGGCTGCGGTCCATCAGGATCAAAACCTCACGCCACAAAAACAGTTTCTTCCCATCCACTGCTGGCCTCTTCAACAAGGCCAAGGGCTTACACTTACTTTAACATTTTATCTACAAAATTACACCTTGCCACATTTACACTATGTTACCCTTTTGTATTTTTGTATGTTACCATTTTGTATTTTTTGTATTTTTAGATTGGAGCTTATAGCTACTTTATATTCAATATTTATTCAAAACTTTACATACTTTAGCCCCTTAGTGTTAGTTAGACTTTGTACCTTTAGTATAGTTTAGACTTGTATACCACTTATTTTAGATTTAAGTTTACTATATGTTGAATGTATGCACCTTCCTGCCAAAGTAAATTCCTTGTCTGTGCGAACTTTCATGGCGAATAAAACCCCTTTCTGATTCTGATATGTACCTACACACACGAAGAAATTGACTTACACACTCACATGGAGCCACACACACATCGACTCTCACACACACACATGGACCCTCACAAAGATCCCCCGTGTAGCCTTAACAGACTGTAGGGGCAAGTGCTGTTAGCGAGCACCTATGAAGGCCGGAACGGCACACGAGGAGGTAGGTGGCCAGCACCACGCCCGATCGTCTTTGTCTCCCCAGTGGCGATGTTTACACACCGCACTAGGTACTCATTTGAGGCTGAGTCGACCTAGGGGATGCCCAGGACCGGTTCAGATAATTGTCACCGGTGTTGGCCGTGAGCGGGAATCGAACCCGGGTCGCCGGGTTCATAGCGCAGCGCGCTAACCGCTACACTACCGCTCCCCACATGGACCCTCACACACACAGCGACCATGCACACACACATAAGACTCTCAGAGACACATCGACTCACACACACATCGACTCACACACACATGCACGTACACACACACACAAATAAATGGACTAAGACGCTCACATGGAGCCACACACACAGGCACATTGACTCACGTACACATCGACTCACACATACACAGGCACATCGACTCACACGCACACATGTATTAAGACAGACATAAATATTAAGAAATTTACTATTTTAATTGTAAAATCTTAGTTGTCTACGCAGACACAAAACACACGCACACATTGACTAACACACACATCGACTGACACACACACATATCGACTCACGTACATACACATGGACTCTCACACACATCGACTGACACACACACATGGACTCACACACACAGACACGTCGACTCACATACACACATATCGACGCAGACACACACGCAATTATTTAAAATTAAAGTAACCTAATTGTTAAATAATAGTTGTGTACACACACACACGACGCACACACATTGACTAACACACACACAGTGACTGACACACAGAGATATCAACTCATGCACACACACATCGAGTCGCACATACATCGACTGACACACACACATGGTGGCAGACACGCACATGGACTCACACGCAAAGACTTGGACACAATTAAAAATATAATATTATTTACCAAGTAAATTTATAAATTTTAAGTTGTCAGCACACAAACATTATTAATGTAATATTTGCTAATTTATTCTTTAAAAAATCAGGTTTCTGTCAACGTTGGTTGACACAATAAAAATATTAATGACCAAGGTATTGAAAGAATATTAACAATGGTTTAATATTTTGAAGGATATTATTTCAATAACAAGATCATATGTACGTGAGTTTAGTTAAAGAAGCAAGGAAGATAAATATTAGTTGTTTGCACACATACAGTACAAGGTGGTTATATAAAACAGTTTTATATGAAGGTGAGTTGATAAATAATAAATATAATGACAAAGTGATTGTTAAAAGATTAGTTGTGAGCAGGCAAACAAAAATAGTAGTCTGCACACAAACATAGTTAATGTAATATTAGCAAGGTGATTATAAAAAAAAACTGGGTTTCTATCAATGTGAGGTTAGGAAAAGAAGCAAGGAAATGGTACTTAACATTGCCGTGGTGAGGCCTAGTCGCGTGCAGAGCCCCCGTCCTCGCGTAGAGTGTGCAGCTGGCCGAGGTGTCACCTTGGCAGGTTGGGGGCTGGACTGCTCCCCCCGGCCACGCTTCAATAATACTATCTAAGCGCTATAATAATAATATCTAGAGGCCCTATAGTAGTAACAGGACGCATTGGGGTGGGGTGGGGGGAAGAGGACATCACACTGCGAAGAAATAACCTCAGCGTTTTGTGTGTTTTAGCTGCATGTTTAACGCGAATTAAAATTTGTGCCGATCATGTGTGCGTTGCTAGGGGCAACCGCTGTCAGCAGTGCAAAGTGTAATGTTATAAATGCTTATAATACTAATGTGTGCGACGTACCTTGCTTGTAGAGTGTGCAGGCGAATAAAAAAAAGGCCGCACACCTCCGGCGATGGCGCGTGTGGGTTGCTAGGGGCTGACCGCGATGAGCGTTGTGCGCATGCGCAGCTTGCTGGGTTATCCCGCCCCGAGCGGTGAATGGAAATAAATCATAGTGAAACTAAAAAAATGTTGAGAGATCGCAAAAAAAAAACTCTATTTAAGCTCATTTATAGGTGACGGACGGGAAAAGGAAATAGCGCTTGCCCACCGCGGGGCTTACAGTGTGGTACCTGGCAAAACATTTTTTTTTTACGTAAACCCAACCGTTTGAGAGCCAAATCCCTCGGAAGCGCGCGCGCGCAGACAGACAGACAAACGGACAGACAAAAAATGAATTTTATAGGTAAGATACAAACATCGTTCTATTGTGTATTGGACTGAAATGTTCGCATGTGCACGGGGAATCAGTGTGTAGCGTGGAGCTATGAAGGAATGGGAAGTGTGTCTCTTACGGCAAATGTTTCATATTGGCACACGCAAAACAAAAGTAAAAAAAAAACTATCTTGCGGTTGTTTTTGTTTCTCATCCAGAGCATATAAAGATGATCATACACCGACACTTTACCGTGACTGCTCAAACAAATGTTACTCGTTCATGTTAAATTCTAAAATAATAAAAAACAATGTCTTCACTTATGTATTTTATTTACTACTTATGCTACTCGTTGCGCGCATTTGCAATTTTTGCTCAGTCGATGTTATCCGCCGAGGTCGTGACTGATTATTTTATTTTCTAATTCCTGTTGCTCCGTGCCCCCAGTGTCGCGTTTCCCTGTTGCTGTAATGGGCACTGGTGCCCACTTTATTGAGGGTGATATTGGCACGTTCAGATAAAGACTGATGTGACTGATTGATTAACGTTAGATTGTTTTTTTTGTTTTCTGCGCCGAGTAGCTGCAAGTTTAACTGCTGTACAGACCCTTCCCATCCCTTTGTTGTACCCCGGGCAATGACCGCCGTGGGTGAAGAATGGTCGAGGGGACCCTACGACCGATATGGCATGGGGACACCTTCATCCAGCAGCAGGTCGCCAAGAGCTGTGAATCGCAGCCGTCCGATGTGTTAGCGAACAAACAAAAACACTCCACACGTTCAACAGTAACTGTGTGTATATGGCCTTAAAACAAAATAAAATTATGTAACAGGCAACGTTTCGGGCAATGGCCCTTCTTCATCGCGCATTCGTATAGAGGTCAGAGAGATATCGAGTGGTTATTAAGATTGCTATGTACACCGTGCGGCCTGATGCGAGTTAAATAATATATATTTTTAATCACCTCATGAATAGCTACACTCATAGCAGTTATTGGGTAACAGACATGTCCTTCAAAAAAATATATTACCCCTAAATATAAAACAAACTAATTTGTATTAAAAGAAAAATAATCAAATGTTGTTGGCACATTGCAGTGGGAAGGTTTGTTCTCGTGAGCTGGGTTAGCATCGTGATCCTTGGGCCCGTGTGTTGCTCGAAGTTTCGCACCACGTGCTGAAAGCTCCGTTACTGATGCTATGACTGAACTTTAGTACCCCAGGTCTCCTTTGCGAAATTAACTTTCGTCTTATTGGGTTGTCGCTCAACTATGAATATATATACACAGTATAATATACATACAAATCATGATATAACTGACATGCATTCAATCTTGATTTGAAGCTTTCGTGACTGCAGGAATCCATACTCTTTGGTTCTTTCGGCACAGTCACGTGACTTTACCGAAAGAACCAAAGCGTATGACATGCATTCACTCCACCAGACGCCACTAGGCAAGGCAGAAATTTCCACGCCACCTTAACGACCCACGCAAGGCGTTGGAGAAAGCCAGTAGCAGCCACAACCGTGTGAGGTCTTGCCACGTGTGTTCTACCCTACGATCGGGTCCTCCAGTTTTCCCCCTCAAACGTCTAGATTATTTAGATAATTATTTTTCTGCTGTGGATTTGCACGTGAGAAGTCGCTTCGTTGAGCTATCATGTGGCCAGGTCGCTTCTGGAAAAGACGCTAATAACTCAGTGGGCTTTACCTAGTCAGATAAAAAAATACATTTATTTATTTAAAAAGAATGCAAGTTATTTGTTTACCTTGCCTATAGTTTGCACTCCTGACGTGTTTTTTTAATTATTTGTTGTTATAACGTTCTGATCGACCCCTACTGGATATCGCCGAAAAAGAGCTTCATAGCTCGTCAGATTCCTCCTCCAATATCAATAAATATTCCGATTCTGATCTTTCCACGGGGACCATTCCCATTCTCTGGTTGGCTCCACCGACTTGTCGGCTAAAATTGCCCACAGGGTTTCGTACCGTCGGCTCATCGCCGAGAGTGGCAGCAGTGCCAGCTGAGAGGTGAAAGCGGGCATCAGAACCTCGAGCTGTTGCCAAACGCACAAATCGAATTCCAAAAACGCTCGTTAATGGAATTGGTCATAATTTTGGTTTATATTTTAAGGCCTTGGGAGGGCTGCCTCCACTTCATATAAAAACAAAACAATTTTTATTTATTTTACCAGGTAAAGCCCACTGAGCTATATAACTTTTCCAGAAGCGACCTCACCACAAATTGTAGATCAAAGAAGTGGCTTATCACGTGGGAATTTATAGCATGAGCCAAATACTCTCTAAACGCGTGTTTCTAAATGTGGAAGGGAAAACCGGAGGACCCAGAGAAGAATCCATGCTACCACGGGGAGAGAGAGACATGCAAACTCCAAATATACAGGAGGCGTCGGAGTCGGGATCGAACCCACGTCCTCCTGCGTACCAGGCGCGGTAGTTAACATCTCGCATCGTCATATTGTTTTGTGTTCGTTTTGCAAAGAGCTCTGGGCAGAGAGCAGTTTGCTGAAAGCGTTGGGGTCGTAATGAAGCAGAGGAAAGGTCCAAAAACCTCATTGGAAGAAAAAAAACACCCGAAGGACCAGGGGAGGATGTGAGGGAGTCTGGAGAGGCCCTCTACATGGAAGCTGTTTTTCACGCTACGTAATTTTTTTACCGCCACAGTGAGCCTCAAATTTGGCATCGGTAAACTAACATCCCTTTAAATCATATGCCCGTCCATCACTCGTGACCACACTCAGCTGCGCGGCTCTTCCGCGGGGCCGGGGCTTGCCTAAACGAGACAATACTGCTCCTGCCAAAGGCGAAATTCAATCAAGCCGCAAAAGCCATTATAGATAGTGTACTTTAAATATAAAAAAAAAAAAAAATTACATATTTACATTGTCGGCCAGCTTCTGCGAAATTCTTAACGAGTATTCTTTGGGTCTTTCGGTAAAGTCACGTAGATAGGTACAAATTAATAAAAAATATATAAAATTAACAAAAACTACGTTTCGATCACAACACAAGCGATCGTCCTGATAACGATCGTTTGATAGGTACAAATTAATAAAAATAATAATCGTCCTGATGATCGCTTGCGTTGTGATCGAAACGTAGTTTTTGTTTATTTTATATTCATTACTTTTATTAATTTGTATCTATCTACGTGACTTTACCGAAAGACCCAAAGAATATGAATCCCTGCAGTCACGATAGCTTTAAGTCAAGATTCTTAACAAGTAGTTTACATTACGAAAAATGTATGTAACAGTCGAATGCAAAAGGGCAGAAAGAAAAACCCGTGGTTAAGAACGTCCTAACAAAAGTGTAGCTTGGTAGAACACAATCCTAGGTATGTCGGCATCACAGCCAACGGAGGTCGCCTTACGGTGAGACTGACCTCGGCCGTTGTAATTGGGAATTTCCACTAATTGTTGTCAGGGTTTAAGACATCTGCCTCTAGAGCAAACAGACGACATGTGAATTCCGCAAGTACTCCCAGTGTACAGTCGATTTTGCTGCAACCCAAAAAACTGGCGTGTCAGGGATCCCCGAGCCGCCACCCCACCCAGTCACCCAACCATCTACCAACCCACCCACTCACCCAACCATCCACCAACCCACACACTCACCCAACCATCCACCAACCCACACACTCACCCAACCATCCACCAACCCACACACTCACCCAACCATCCACCAACCCACCCACTCACCCAACCATCCACCAACCCACACACTCACCCAACCATCCACCAACCCACACACCCAACCATCCACCAACCCACCCACTCACCCAACCATCCACCAACCCACCCACTCACCCAACCATCCACCAACCCACCCACTCACCCAACCATCCACCAACCCACCCACTCACCCAACCATCCACCAACCCACCCACTAGCCCAATCATCCACCAACCCACCCACTCACCCAACCATCCGCCAACCCACCCACTCACCCAACCATCCACCAACCCAGCCACTCACCCAACCATCCACCAACCCACCCACTAACCCAACCATCCACCAACCCACCCACTCACCCAACCATCCACCAACCCACCCACTCACCCAACCATCCGCCAACCCACCCACTCACCCAACCATCCACCAACCCAGCCACTCACCCAACCATCCACCAACCCACCCACTCACCCAACCATCCACCAACCCACTGACCGCAAGCGACGTGCGCATTACGGAGTCGGCCGGCCCAACAGAGCCGTCACCATCGCTCGCTTGCTTGCTCGCCCTCCATCCTTCTTCACTCGTCAGCGAACAAACCCCCCCCACCAGTCCCCCTCTCTCTGATCGGTGGTGATGTGCATGGAAGGACGTGTGTCGGGCGTGGGAGCCTCGAGAGCAGCAGTGACGTCAATGAGTAGCCTGAACGGCTGCCCAGGTGTCAGGCAGTGTCCTTCCAGGTCACTGTCTTCACCAGAAGTAGCAACAGCAGCGGCCAGCGAAAGTGCGATCCGCACACACACAGAACAAAATAATATCACAGCTCAGCTTTCTTCTCAGGCCAACAATAGAGAGAGGAGAGATAGGTGTGGTGGGAGGGAGGGGTGGCAATTACGTGAGGATTCATGACACCGGCCATCAGGATTAGATGCGCCGCTGGTGTGATCGAGCATGCGTGCGTGCGAGCGTGCGCCGTGACACGTTGGTGTTGTGCGCGCGCGTGCCCCTTTTGGGATCGCGACCTCAAAAGCGCGCTTCTCTGAATGTCATGGCGTGTCGATCTTTAGCGCGGTAGTTCCACCGCACACCGTT